TGCGTATTCTATTTGCGAGTTCAGGCTTAAGCCCACCAATGAAGGTACTTACCAAGGCGTTCTGGGTCCAACTGTGTACCCGGTTGCCCAGACGCTCGAATTCTTGTTGATACTCCCTTTAATGGGCTAGTCTGCGTGATGCGCAACAAGGCCTCATCGCACTCCTCGAACTCGGTCATGCCGAACTTGGCCCATAATTCCTCTTCGAAGGTGGCCCAATCAACCACTCGGCCCTCCTCTCTGTTGGTTTTGCTTTGCCACTGCCACCCAGTAGTTGGCCTCCCCTTCAAGGTGGAAGGAGGCAAGGGCAACACGGTTCGATGCTGCTGTTGCTTGGAAGTCAAAGAACTGTCCTACCCAATTGAGCCACTCAGTGGGATCGCTACCGGAGAAGGAAGGAAACTCGAGCTTGGTCAGTTTGGGGAAGATCGATGGTCTTCCTTCTTCGCATTCAGGTGCTCTTTCACGTACCAGTTGCAGTGTACCGGGGCGACTCAGCTGGTTGCTGTTGGACACTTCGCAGCTAGACGCAATGGAATCTGACAGACTTTTGAGGTTGTCTTCTATCAGTCGCAGCTTATCAGCAAGCCCAACTTCCATGCGGCTAAAACTATCCTGCAAGCCACCAAGACCTGCTTCCAGATTTTCAATACACTCTTTGTTAGTCGCCATTGTAGTCGAGCTCTGATACCAATGTTAGGTCCCAGTCAAAGCATCGAATGGTAAGTAGTTTTTCTGCTTTTTGTGAGAAAGAACCAAGAAGAGTTTTTATAAAATTGATCTACTTTATCGATGAAGTTGCAGTACCGTGAAATTTCCTACTTCTACGTTGCTGGATAAGAATTAAGGATACATGGAAATCAAAGAACAAATCAGAAAATTGCTAGAGGAAGAGTGGCCGAGCAGATCGCGGGATTTGGGTTGAACAGTTCTGGAGGTTGTTCTGTTTTGCTGCAGATTCTGAGTTGATCGGGCAGGCGGTTATCAGTCCAGATACTTCGGATTCTTGGTGGGGATCCGTCGAGATCTTCGGGGCTTATCATATACAAATGGATTCAAGGACAATGCAAGGAAGCCATCCAGAAGGAAATTAGGGGAGGGTGAAGGAGTACTACTAATATGCATACTTGAACATAAGACAAACATAAAGTGTCACCAGTAATACATAATGACATCATAACTGCAACCATCAATTAGACATGAACAATAAATAGATAAAACATCAAAGACCACCAAGGAACACTATGAAAAGAATTAGGAAATATAAGAAAACAGAAGCAAACATAAGATCCAATCTTTCTGCAGCATAACACTCCATTACAATGATAAAACACTCTGATGACATCCAACGCTGACACATAGGTGGCAACTGCAAAAGGATGTCAAATCGAAATTGGTATGAATAAACAAACAGGAAACCTTTATAGGTGATGAAAATTTCAGAAATGGGTATAAATTGATTTATCTAGAAAGTAAACCTGAGGGCAGCATATAGAAAAAGGCAACAATTGACATTTTCTTTAGGGTTCCTGGTTGGGCCTTTTCCTTGACCTACTTAAAACCGAAGGTAATAGGGTAAGAAGGCCTGAGCAACAAGTGGGTAACGCGAGATCAGTAGCAGGACTAGCAAAGTGCTTAATCAAGAACTGCAGCCATCCGCTAAGGTGCCAACAATTGACATTAATCACATGGACACAAAAACCAGAGATGAACTCAGATGAATCACAGTCAAAGCTTACCTTAGCATAGTAATCCTTCCATACTCTGCGCGCTATCTGATGCCCCCCCAAATCGAACGCCTTGAACTTAATTTTCCCAATACTAAGCTCTTCCGATGTAGGATACTGGGTCGGCTGATGCTGAGCCAGCCTCTGAAATCAAGCCACAATCAATCAATCACTCAAACAATAATTCCCGGTGAAAGCAAAACGGAATAGCTTGGTTGCCGAGAAAACGAATGAAAACAAATATCATACATATATCACAATGAAAACCATGAATCCTTTCGGAATAATTTTAAATTTTCGAACATGCAAAATAAACAGAGTAACTATGTTAGACTAAACATAAACACAAGAAATATCAGTAACCTATGAAGAAGAAGTCGATCGATTACAATCAGGAATTCCTAGACTACAAGAGCAAAGTAGTAGGGAAACAAAAACAAACCTCGTCTTTCAACATGTGAAGCAAAGTTGTTTTACCAGCATTATCGAGGCCCAGGAACAAAATCTTTGCCTCTTTTTGCCATAATCCGAGCGAAGCAAGAACACTGTAGAACCAGTCTACTAGAAACATGGTTTTTTACTCTTTTCTCTTTTGTAATCTAATCGAAGATACAGAGTGAAGCGAACAAGACTTCCAAATTTACGTCTGGACCTCCTTGGAGCTGGAGACAAAGATGGAGAAGCTGGAAGAGAGGAGGAAGCTGCAGGACAATGAGAAATTGGAAGAGATTAGCAGGAACCTCCGGCCTGGTAAGTGATTGGCATTCTTAGACTAGTTGCGTTGCAGAGCCGCTACTTTCATGTTATGTGACGTCGTTTTTGTCCCACCGTAATTCATTAAAATACTACGCAATGCCGATAAAAAAAAAAAGGTCTCTCATCATCCGAGTTTTTTCTTTTTCCGGTTTTTTATTTGTTTTCTTTAAGTTTAGATTCATTTGCTACCTAAAATACTTCATATTTTTATTTTTGAACTATACGTATATTAATCATAAAAATTAATTAATAGTATAAGAGTAAGAATTATTATAAAATTATATAATAAGTTTCGAAGTATCATCTTTTATATTTTAACTTATCCTACACATGTAAAACTTATTTACATTTTCATAAATAACATATAATTTAAAGCATGTATTTGATTAAATCCATGCACTGAATTAACTTGGCCAGATAGTTATATTTTTTTCTGAATAAACAATTTTCAGTTTGATATTTTAAAAGTTTTTTTCCTGCTATTAAATTATAATGAATCTATTTAAAATGTAATGTAATATATTTATTCAGTCTTTATGAGTAATTTAAAAAATAAATATTTATTAAAATAAAATTATATATACGAGAAAAAAAATACTCCGGTACGTGATTATCGAATATGTACCACTAAGTTACTTATAATTGTGTTAATTTATAATTGTTAGTTATATTTTAATATGTTAACTGTAATAATCATTTATTTTTAAGTTCTTATTTTATATTGTAAATATATTTATATTAATATCAAAAAATAATCTTATATGCATATATAATGTAGTAATTGAAGAAATAAAAAAAAAGGGGGGGGAGGGGGGGAACGACGTTGTTTTGATGAGACAGGTGAGGTATAAATAGGAGACGAAAAAGAAAAGAAAGAAATAAGGAAAAAAAAGAAAAGAGAAAACAAAGAAGGGAGGGGAGGAAAAAGAAAGAGAAAAGAAGGTTCGAGAAAGAGAGAGAAAGGAGTCGGAGCGGAGAGGAAAGAGAAGGGAGAGAGAAGAAGAAAGAGGACGGTGATAGTGCGATCAGCGGGAGGAAAGAAGATGGAAATGGGAGGTACGGTAATTTTAAGTTTCTTGTTAGTTGATGTGGATTTGAAAATTTACTGTAGGTAGAGGAGCTGTGTGAACGTGAGTGGAGGCGTATGGAGGAGGTTAGACCGCGGAAGGAGTGAGAGAAAAAAAATGTGGCGTAGAAGAGAGGTATGTGAGGGAAAGGTGAGGTCGTGCGTGAGAGAGGGCGTATGGAAGAGGTTAGGCCGTAGGAGGAGAGAAAGGAAGGAGTGCAGTGTGTGTGAGTGTGGTCTGTGAGGGAGAGGAGTTATTGTGTGTGCGTGAGTGCGAATGGAGGAGGTTAGGCCGTGGGAGGAGGGGAAAGAAGGAGTGCGTGTGTGTGAGTGCGGTCTGTGAGGGAGATGAGCTATTGTGTGTGATTGAAGGCGTATGGAGGAGGTTAGGCCGCGGGAGGAGATAAAGGGAGGAGTGCGGTGTGTGTGAGTGCGGTCTGTGAGGGAGAGGAGCTGTTGTGTGTGAGTGAGGGCGTATGGAGGAGGCTAGGATACGGGAGGAGAGAAAGGAATGAGTGCGGTGTGTGTGAGTGCGGTCTGTGAGGGAGATGAGTTGTTGTGTGTGAGTGAGGGCGTATGGAGGAGGTTAGGCCACGGGAGAAGGGAAAGGAAGATGTGTAGGGTGTGAGTGAGGTTTAAGAGAGGGAGGAGATGTTGCGTGATTACGAATGGAGGTTGGCGGAGGGGACCATGGGAGGAGAGTGAGGTGATTTCGGGATTTGAGGGTGGAGTATCTATAATAGGCCGTGGAGGGGGAGAGAATAAGAGATTTGGTGAGTGAGGTAAATATGTGTAAGGGAGGAAGTAGTATGTGTGGATGTAAAAAGTTTGGGAGGAGGAAATAGAGGCTATAGACCGTGGGAATGAAGTGTCGGAATGGAGATGTGGGGGTGTCTCTATGTAGGACGAGGGGATATGTGGGGTAGCTGTGTGGCGTGAGGGTATGGGTCGTATATAGGTTGGTATAGCTACTGTAAATTTGGTAGTTAGCAAGGGAACGTTACAAGTGTGGGTGTGTTAAGTGTTAGTGCGTGTTTTATGAGGAGACGGATGTAGTTTAGGTACACAGGTTAAAAGTATAAGAAAGCTTCAAGATAAGGTGGGGGAGTAAGGATAGGATGATGTCATGTTGGGTCGGTAGCATCGGGGGACGCCGATATTGGTTGTCGCTACCTAGAAAAAGTAAGCTGATCGCCGATGGTGGTGATGGTCAGGAGACTTCGATGGGAATGGATTTGGTCACCGATATTGGCGACGGTAAAGGATGGTATCTCTATGTGTGTGTGTATGGCCTATCAGGGGTCGAGAGATAAACGGTTTATTGGAGGTCGCCGATACTAGTGACGAGTGTGAATATTTGTACGCTTGGGGTGACGTTGGGGGATGTTCACACATGGTATGCATGATATTTAGGATACCGGGATATGTTTTAGTCCTGTGTAGTCCCATAGTGATGACAAGGTAGGCTTAGGTTGGGTGATTGGGTACATATAGAAATACTGGATTTCATATTTAGTGCATATCATAATTGTAACTTAATTTTTACTATACTGAGTTATATGAACTCACCATCTATTGTTCATAGACAATGTAGGAATTAAGTCAGGATTGGAGTTGCTGGTTTCCGAGCCTAGTGTATAGAGCAATATAATAAGGATCTTTATGGACAGAATTGAATGTGTAAAAATTAGTAGTAGAGTTGATAGTATGTATGTTGATAGTGTATACAGTTGTATTTCACGTGATGTTACATGTATGATTGCCGGTCTATCTTAACTCTAAACAATAGATTGTGATGGTGTTTCTATGTGCATGCCTGACTTGAAACGAAATTTTTGTGTTTGATAATAGTTTTGTTGTAAACTACGTCATTAGAAATAAAATAAAATAAAAACATTACATATAATAAATTAATACATTAAATTATAAAAAAATATTAAAAATCTCAAAACAAGAATAAATATATACTTGGAAAAATATTAAATATAAGTATTAAATAATAATTTTTGCTACCTCAAGTGTAATGAATAATCTCTTTTTTTTTTCTTAATATTAGAATGGAATGGAACAATTTATTTATAACACAGTCAAATTTTTGTTACTAAATAAACATAAAACAATAAAAAACTGTATAACTACTTCAATTATAACATATTATTTAATAAAATATAAAAAATATACTTTAAAAATAGATACTTTATTCTAATTAACGTCATAAAATAATTTAAATATATTCCAATCCAACAAAAAAAAAAACTAATTTGAAAAAGAAGACATATGATATGTCATTTTTGAATAATTATTAATAATATTTTTTAATAAAATAAACATAAGAATTATTTAGTTTTAAATTTATAAGTAGAATAAGATAATTTAAATTTTAGTATACTTAATTGTAATTTACCAGAGACATCATGTAGCGTGCTTAGTTTTATTACTAAAGTATCCAATAGCATTAAAATTACAAAATAAAATAATTAATTTATAATATTTAATTAAATAAGATTAAAAAATTAATTCATTAATATATTATTAAAATAATAATAATTAAATTAAATTAAATATTAAAAAATATGATTATTAAATTAGATTAAATATCAATAATTTTATTATATTATTAAAAAATAATATTTTATAATGATTAAATTAGTATTAATTAAAAACACCATCTAGTCCATTATTAATAATAGAAAGGAATAGGGGGGCCATGCTCCTAAAAATACCAGGTTCCGATTTGTTTCGTTTTAAACTCCTCATTGAAAACCCTAACCCTAATCAAAAGCAACGATAAACCCTCCTCGTTTGCGGGCTTCTTCTCTCTTTCGAATCAGTTGCCGATCCCTCTGGTACGTCCTGGTTAGCTTGTTGGTTATTTTCCAATGTACTTAATTACCAGCATCTTTGTCTTCCATGTATGTTTAAATCATGAGCGGATTGATATTTTGCTCCGCAGAAATGGCCAAGTCAAAGAACCACACTGCTCATAACCAGTCCTACAAGGCCCACAAGAACGGAATCAAGAAACCCAGAAGGCACAGACATACTTCTACCAGAGGGGTATTCTCTTTTTACAATCTCTCTGTTTAGTCCTTTTTTTCCCGTTGGCTTTCAAATTACCCATAGGTGTTTTATATTTGAAGGCGGATTAGTACATTTAAAAGGTTACGGATTGTGTATCTCTTTTAATTTTTCTTCTTGTTTGACAATCTAGATGGATCCCAAGTTCCTAAGGAACCAGAGGTACGCAAGGAAGCATAACAAGAAGAACGGTGGATCAGCCACCGAGGAAGAGTAGACTCTTAGCTATGCAGTTGTTGCTTTTTATTTTGTTTTGATCCACGTCTTACAAGACAATGCCATGCTTTACAATGACGTTGTTTATCAGATGATTATTTCCATTTCGAGATTTAGTATTTGACTATTCTAAAATTATGGTTGGTGACCTATGAATTTGATAGTTAATTTCTCTCTCTGGGATAACTTTAATTGTTGTTGTTTGCACAATGTAAGCTGCTTACTTGGTCCCTCAAAATGTGAGAGGTAGTATGGAAATTTTTTTCTCGTTTCTACTGCAATGGAAATTTTATGGGCATTCAATGGATGTTTTCTGATGTTACTTTAGCACAAATTTGAGATTTTCTCAGGTCCTTAACCCATTCCTGAAGTTACTGAAGCTCGTTATATGATTGATTTTAAAAGGAGTTCATTATAGGTTTTTTGATGGATATTTGTTTCGATATGGTGAATGTTTAAGTGCAATACTGGTGGTTTGTGGCCGATATTGTGGTTTTCAGGCATTTTGCCCTAATTTCTTATTATTCGAGATCAGGAGTTTTATTTTTATTTTCTTTCTGCTAATTTATGGTTTGATTGTATTATCTCAAAAAAAAAAAAATTATGGTTTGATTGTTTTTGTGATGTTATATATGTTGCTGGTTCTACCACAACAATTATGGCAAATTTCTTGATGATTTATTGAAATTTTCACTCTTTAAGATACCTTTCATTAGCATTTCCTAGGTGTTCTCTATTTAAGCACTGTTTGAAACAGTCATTCGGTGGCTTTTATGTCATTTTCTTGAAGGTACTCAAGGCTGTTATGGTTTATACTATGATTATTTGACTGTTATATGAATATTAATTTGAAAAATACTGCATTTTTTGTAAGAATTTGTGGTTTTGAGCATCTTGTTAGGTATTATATCGTTAGCATCTGGAGCCTCTTTTATTCTTTGATTTTTTTTTTCCTACGGAGGGGGCAAAGCTCCTTTGATAATTAGAAACCTATGACCATAAACTCCATCCACCTAACCTCGGTGGAGAGAAGTACCATATAAACCATCATCAATATGGGGAAGTAATCCTTATCATGGCATTATGGTATATGCTTACAATTGTGCTGGTCTCGTATTAGGGATTTTTCTGAATACATGTTTTCAGGTTTCTATGAGTCCTAACGGATATATTGGTATTCTCAGAAGGAAATGGGCAACATATTGGGTAGACTTTACAGATAATGTATATCACCAACGTACATGCTTATGTGACTGCTTGTGCTGGGTTTATGTTTAGGATCTACCTAATTTAGTTTTTCTAGTTTTCTATGGCAGGTCCTCCTACATATATTGATATTCTCGGGGGGAAAGTGGACCATATGGATTAATATTTACTGATGTTGTATATTGGTCCTCACTAACAATTAGGATGTCCTTGGGGATATCCTTGGTACGAGGGTACCTTGATCATAACATGGGAACCTGCTAGTTGTGAACTTTTAAGACCTTCAAACTTGGATGGATGTGTTATTTTATTGGCTTGGTGTCTATGGGTTTCATAAGTTGAATATTATTTGCAGTCCTTTTTTCTCCTTAAAGAAGTTAAAATTACTTCGCATTACTCTGAATATCTGCGGGGTTTATTGAATATGTACTGCCGTATGGCATATAAACATTACCATATGAGCACGATTTGTATGGTATTTGGGATATTTTCTATGCACCAGTGAAGTTTGTTGTTTCCTTGAAGAAAATATGTAATCTCTGAAGCCATTTGAGTAGAACATTGCTGAAGGATCTAGAACATCATAAAGGCTTAGTAAAATGGCATCTCAGCTAATGGATGCTCCGTTTGATTATCATTTGATGGGGAAATAGGGCTTACTAAAAGTAGACAAGATCACTGAGTTTCTGGTAACTAACATTTACCTTTGGCCGTGCAGTAAACTTTTTCAGGATTGAGAAATGATATCTTTAACAGGACAATAGATGGTATGCTGTTCAAACTTGGAATAATGGGTTTTCTTATTTGAAACTGGTAAGTACTTTCGGTGTGCTTTTACTTGGTGGCATTGTCCTTAGTGGCTTAATTTGTGGGATGCTATTATGATGCTTAGAAGCATCATTTCTTCCTTTTCAGTTTCAGTATTTTCAGTAAGTTATGGTATTGTGTCGGAAGCCTCACTCATGGTTTCGGACATGAGAGAAAGAAGAGAGGAAAAACAGAGGAAGAGTCAGATTTCGTGAGGTAATTTTGATTGTTTTTTAGATGATCTTCATTCATAGATGAGAGGCTTATTATAGGCAGGTTTTTTTGGCAGGGCATTGCAACGGCCAAAGAGCCGGAGGGTAAGAGTCTCTTTCTGTCATTTTTGGTTAGTTGTAGCGGCAACTCTAATCCTAATTCGTTACAAATAAAATGACTATTTTACTCCTGTTCTGTTTGTGAATTTTCCCTTCTGCCCGACTGTAGTAGAGTATCAGAGGCGGCCGCAACATATTTTCAATATGCAATATTACTTAATGATTATCCTATTCAGAAAAATAAGATGACACACAGGGCATTTGGTTTCTTTGAGAGCATTATAATTACTCTTGTTACTACCTTTGTTTGAATATTTTTTTCATTTTTTAATTATCCTTAGAGCACTTGATACCTTTACTTATAGATTTCGACAGTGTGTTATAGAAATTACTTTGTATAATCTTTGATTTATAGTGACATGTTGATTGGGTTGGAACCTAATCAATTAAATAATATCAGAAACCAATCATAATTCCAGGGCGTTCAATAATTTTTGCTTGTAGCAAGCCATCACATCTAGTCATATTCCACTTCATGGGACCCTGCCAAGTAGGTTAGAAAAAGTTTGCTAAGCAACTTTGCTTGGATTTTTTAATTGTGTCACCTTCTAGAATTGAATTCTTCGTCTGGTGGGATGTAAACCTCTCCGGTTCTCAGCAACACAGAACTCAGATAACCCATCACATCACAAATTTCTAAACACTTTTGCAGAATCTAAATGAGAGTACTTGTGAAATAATAAGATTTAATTTAATAACTGCTTCATAAAAATACAACATGCCCTCTTCTTTTAACATTTTATATATATATATATATAATAGAATATATACTGCTTAATTGGGACATGTATGCTCCTGGTTCTTGATAGACTAAGACTACATTGGCTATGGAGAGAGAGGAGGAAGAAAAGCTTATTTGTCTTTCTTCACAATCACAACAGGACACTTTACATTCTTTGCACAATAATTGCTCACACTTCCCAGAAGGGCCCTATTCAAACCAGAGTTGGAACTTTCAGATCATCAGGCAGTTACCCAATTAAGATCAAGGTTCATAGTTCAAGCAAACAAGATTATGGGTGAGTTTGAGATGAATTTCAACTATTTTTCAAGAATATATTTGAAAATTTCTACTTAATTTAAACACAAAAATTTGATTCTAAATAAAATTGAAATCCTTTATCTTAAAAAAATTCAGGATTTTTATTTATAATAAATTACCTTTTGAAGAAACCATAACCATGGCTTCCCATGACCAGAGTCTCAGCTTTGAGTTTCTTCACTGTGCTGCATATTACATCCTTGGCATCTCCACTCCCGACTACTCTCTCCACATTTATCTGCACAAAATTTACCAACATCAATAGAGTTCAGCCGCCATACCTCTATACATCTACATATATACATATACATATATATATGGAAGAAATTAGGGTAACTAGTTAAATATTTACATTGTATGAAGACTTCCTACACACAGCTAGAGCTCGTTCCATCACAGAATCCACCAAATCACTGCCATACTTTTCCATGGCAGCAATCACATCACTAGAAAACATATACCCTGCAACAAAAATTAACCGTTAATTTTGCTAAACCCTATTCTAGAACAATCCACTCATTAAATCAAACCACTAACTAATCATAAACGACAGACGAAAACAAAAGCACTGATGAGTAATTCACCTGCTGCATCAATGGTGGAGTAGACCGGAGGCGGAGGCTTGACGTAGAGGAGAGCAAGAGTGTTGTCAGAGTTGGTAGAAAACAGATTGCTGAGACACCATGAAAGAGCATACATACTCTCTTCGCTCTCGTCTACTGCAACCACTATCCTTCTCTTTTCCTTCTTCGTGTTCATCATCATCCTGGTTTCTCCTTCCATTTCTTTTTTTTTTTTTTTATCGAAGAGATTTTTCAGGGCTTCGAAGAATTTGAAGATAACAAGAGAGGTATGGATTATATATAGAGGGTGGGTTTCGGTGTGGCTCCTGGTTTTGGTGTTGGGTGGGTTTTTCTCGTCGGCTATTAATTATTTGTCCTGGTTTTTGAAATGAAAACCGCTGTCCTTTGTCATTATTGAGTTGGTAATAATTAAAAGTTTAAATTATGTTTCAAGTTAATTAAAATTTACCGCCAGTACCACGTCTTACTTGTTGACGAAGAATTTAAACTCATTCAAAAATATAAAATTTAATATTTTATGTATGAATTATAAGTTAATACTGATTAATTTATAATATTTAATTTAATAATTTTATTAATGTTTTAGCACAGTTGTAATGATTAAATTCAATTATTTATGATGAAATGTCTTGTTAATTCAACAGGCATATATAAATTGAGCATTTGATTATATCAAATTTTTATATATAATGTTCAAATAATTATATATTTTTAGTTTAGATGATTCCTTTGACCAAATGCATTTTCTAAATGTGATGAATTTGGTCATAGTCTACATTTTTACATCTCATTTCCAAAGAAAACATTATTAATACTAAGGTTTTTTTAGATTAAAAAATATTAAGTTACAAAATTTTATTTTTATTTAAAAATATAATAAACTGATCAAAATTTTATTTAATTTAATTATTATAAGTCTTAGCGACCTAAATTATTAGTTTTACAAAATCCGAGATGTTTTAGTACACTAATCACGTAGTTTATTCTCACGTGCCTCTTAACGTTCAAAACAAACGGCTTGCAAGTCAAACGGTTAGAGGTAAAGTCAACATGCTTCACCTCACTGTTTGATTATTTAAAAACAATATTGCAATATTTAAATATCAACTAAAATACAATATATAATTAATTGTTTAAATAATTTTGGTTTAGTAATAAATATCATGAATTTGAATTTTACAAAAAACGTAGAATTTATTATGCAATTATTGGTCTGTAATATTTAATTTACTAATTTTTATGTGCACGTAGTACTTAAATTTTAGTAATATAATTATATTTATAGACGAGATAAATAATTCGTAACAATTATATTTTATTAGTTGGTGTTGAGATAACGAATTAAAAATTTATTTATTTTTTTTATTTTAAAAATTTGAATAATTTAATATTTTTCTTAATAAATTTAAACAATCTACTTGGAATGAGAGCGATCATTCTTGGTGCAGTGCTCGGCGTCAACATCTTCCCAAAGGGTAAGCTGGCTAACATTTTCAATGATCAAAATATCTTCGTGTATATGTGTGTGTTTTTGTATGTCCTCCTGTACTTATCCAGTTATCAAGATATTTCCATTTGAGCACCGAAGATACCCAAGCAATAATTTATTTTATTTTCAAATTTAAATAAAGTATTGGGGTTTATAATAAATTAAAAAATTATAATAAAAAAAAAAGTATCGGGGTTCATAATTCATAATATTTGAACAAATACATAATTAAAAAAAAAAATGACAGCCTGTAAATTTATTTTTATGATTAATAAAATTCTAAACTAAAATTCAAGGGAAGGTGCAGTGCTTTACAGTCCAAATCAGTTGCTATTGCTTGTTCAAAATTGAGAATTACAGGCTGTTTTTGTTTTATTTACTTATATATATTCATTTTCAAATTTCCATATCTTAATTTTTTTTTATGAAGATATTTTTATTTTTTTTTTTAAATATAAATTTATAAATTTTACTAATTAAATAATATACACATACTGATTAAAACAATCTATAAAATTAATCAGGATTTTATCAAATTTATAAAACGATAGGAATATTAATATTTTATTTAATAAATAGTTTATAAATGTTTTCGTATTAAAATTATTGAATTTATTTTTTTAGAAACTCAATCACCGGATTAAAATATAATTACGTAGCTCTAAATGCTTAATCTTTCACTTAAACGAAATAAAGAATAAAATTATAAAGTACTCGACGAAAGAGACACTAATTCAAATATCTCGGCAAGTTTTTTCTGTTCGTTAAACGACGTCGTTTTTTTTATTGAGTTGTTACTCTGTATTCGGACGTGACGCACTTTAATGTTTTTGTATAAATTATTAATTGTAAATTTGAAAATGAAGGCCCGACCCAAAACATAAGAGGATTAAACCGGGCCTGCTCTTGCTTCATAGACAAATTACAGTGGGCCGGAACAAATTAACCTACTAAATTTTGCTTCCAATATAATTAATAAAATATTGCTTTTAGTAAAAATACATTTAAAAAATTATATTTAACTTTTAAAATATAACTAATTTTTTATAATTTTTTTTATTGTTTTAAAATTTAGCAAAAAAAAGGAATGAATGAATATAAATGAATTTTACTGACCACTGGGAGCATCGAGGCACTGAGAAAACCTTTTCCTAGCAAGAGAGGATCAACAATGATGCACCTCTAGGGAATTATCAAGCTCCCAATAAATGCTTGATAATTAAGTGTAGAGCGGATAATTTGTGAAAACATCTAAATAATATGAGTACTCTCCTATTCCAATTTTCTCAGAACCTTCGATAATGTAGCCAAGAAAACAACCGATTCTCTACCTATATAAGAATAGAATGATTAAAAAATTGAGAATTTAACAAAATATCAGGGCGAGACGAGTCGTTTATCATCACGACAAGTGTCAAGTAGAAGTGCGATGATGTAATGACCGGGTTCAAAAATTAGCTCAGAATGAATTTTGTATTCATAAATAATTATATAAATAATTTATTTTATTTTATTATTAAAAATAAATTATGGACGAAATTGAATACAATCTTGAGAAAAATATGTGAAATTTTAAATTCAGAATATATTTTTAAAATAAAATTTAAAAACATAAGGTTAAATTGCAAAAAAAAAAAGTTTGATTATGTGGGATGGCCCGGTCAGCAGTTCCGGAGAACTAGAGCACGCCGCGTGGCAACCCCGCTACCACGCGGGAGACCACGCTAGCGATCCACGTGTCCGGCGATCCGACGGTCCAGATCTCATTTTGTATGCGTGAATGGCCCAGATGCATTTCATCTTTGGACGCGATCGAATGTTCAGATCAGATGCCGGAGAAGAAGACCGACCATCGGCCGCCACCGCACTAAAGTCACCGCTAAATCACCGAAAAAGGTAAAAAAAATTATTTTTCGCTTGAATTCAATTTCAAGTCTCCATGACGTCATATTTGTAATATTCGGACTCGAAATTAATTTTAAAAGTTAAATTAATATATAAGATATAATTTTTATTTATGTAAAATTTGAAAAAAATTGGTAGAGATGAAATGAAATATTTGAGAAAGAGTGAAATTTGGGTCAGTGTGTTTTAAAGAAAATCAGAAATGAAGTCAAACGCATTTAAAAAAAATTGATAATTAATTACAGTTTATTAATAGAACCAGAACGAGTTATTTATTACTGTGTCTTGTTTTAATTGATTGATCGATTTTACAGTTTTAAATGCATAATAATACACTAGAGTTGGTAAGATGATTCAGTTGTGTTTCCTTGATGCATGTATTGCTTGTTTTGCATAATTTATAGTTAAATTGTGAAATTGAAAACTAAATATAAATGGAAAATTGCTTGATTAAGTGAATGAATGAATGATAGTCTTACTGGATATCCTTCAAGATGAAGGACGGACCGGGTACATAGAGAATTCTACCGTAAATGTTGCCTCATATCAGATGGAGTATCGAAGATTAATATTTTGGCGCTCATACCAGACAGGCTATGAGAACGGTCCGTTTCACTCTCATGCTAGACGGAGTATTGAGGGATGATATTTTTTGCGCTCATACTGGATGAGATATGAGGACTGCTGGTTAGTTGATAATATTGAATAAAAGTTCATACGTTGTAGGGATATCCCTATAGACCCCCATGGATACTAGTAGGCAAATAAAAATGAAAAGTTGTTGTTCTAACTAATTGAAAATGAGATTATGATGTTATTTGTGTTATTGCCTCTATAGGTCGGTTTTAAAAATCTCCCTACGGTAAGTATGTAATAAATAATTTTATTTACGATAAATGAACTTACTTAAATTAAGAGATTCATTAATTGTTTTTATAATTTTTACCAACTTTCATTTCTATATTGGTGAGTAGTGTGATATTCTTACTGGGGTAGTGTAACTCACTCTTTCATTAACTATTTCAGATCAAGAGAATCAATATTCATATCCCGATCAACAAGGGGGTTGTGAATAGTTCACCACTCAGACTCCCTTCAAAAGCTAGTGAAGGTCGTTCTAGAATACCTAATTATTTACTTTTCACTTATTTCTTGATTTTTCACTTATTCTTTTAGAATGGTCATTTTCGTATCTTTATTGAGTATTCTAAATTATTATATAAGGAATGTAAACTCTAACTCTATTATTTCGTTTCCACATTCAATTTATAATTTATTTCCTTTTAAGTTTCGGACTATTACAATATCGGAGCAAAAGGGACAGCGGGTGAGGCACAAATTGCGAGTAAAGCCTGGCAGAGCTGCCGCAGCCAAAACCCAAAACCCTATCTGATGACCCCATTCCCATTTTCCATTTCACATAATTCTTTGACCACTGTGTTCAACGTCTCTTTCTAGTGCAGGTTAGCCAAAGAACCCATACGTGAAGGAGGATCGGCGGAGCCGCCGCACATAGAGACCCCTTCCTACCGATAGGTTTTGGTTCTTTGACTTTTTCAGTCAATCGAGACTTATTAACGTATTTTTTTCGCAAGAATACATGTAAAACTAGCCAAAATTGGCCTAAATTGACAAAAATTGGTCAGACCGAGGTGAACCGCCGCCGTGGCAACAGAGCTAGCGTTGGAATACGCCAATGCCGCTGTGGCGTCAAAGCCGATGTTGGAGTACGCCAACATTGAGGTACCAGAACCCTGAAAAGTGCCGGAAAGATTTATCAACATTAATTTTAGTTTTTAGGGTATTTTTGGGTACGTGACGGGTATTTTAATTTTCATAGAAAAAATTTAAAAAACCCGGGGACCGTTAGGAGACATAGTAAATAGCACCA